CCGGCATCGTTGGCCTCTCCACCTGGCTACCCCTACGAGCCAAGATGGTGGCGCCATACTTGACATCGCACGCGCGAAATATACCAATCTTTTTGGGTCATGGCACAGCGGATCAAGTCGTCAAGTACGAATACGGACAGAGGAGCGCAAAGTTTCTCCGGGCTGGCGGCGAAAATGATGGCGGAGCAGGAGTGGGATGCGGAAAGTGGAGAGACGAAGGCGGCAGACCCGCAGGGGTGTGGGCCGAATCGTACGACGGCATGGCGCACTCCGCCTGCATGGAAGAGGTGAGCAGGGAGTCCGAAGCGCGAGGGTGCGAATCATCGCCTGATCCTTTCTTTTTTTTGTTCGTCTGTCACCCAGATCGAACACGTCGCAGAGTACCTCGAAAAAGTCATACCGGCTCAAGCGTCGTAGCGCAAACAAGTCAATTTTGCTGGGATCACAAGCATGGAATCCATCAAGTTGCGCCTAACAGCCCGCAGACGCTCTATGCTATTTGGTGCCATGATGCTGTCTGACACTCCGTTGAGCCAAGGGCTCACGACGCCAAGGGTTTCTCATCGTCGGCACTGATGGTCCTGCGAGCGTGAAGCCACTCGTAGTCGGCTCGACACTCTTCGATGCCATCTAGCACTTCCTGACAGTGATCCTTCTTTGGTGCTTCCACGCTCTTGTCGAAGCCAGTGCTGTGCTCGGCAACATCGTGGAAGCTGCCCCAGCTGGAGAATTCCTTGACCTTTTTGTCCTCCCACTTGAGCATCGTGGGTTCGAATGGCACGCCCAGCGCCTTGCACCAATGAGCCAGCGTCTTTTCGGGGTCCGCAAGGAGCGTGGCAGAATCGATCAAAGGCGGTGCCGCGGGCTGCTCCACTGGTCTGCCAGGGTACTTGGCGTCGTCTGTAGAGATGGGAGCTTTGTGCCACGATGACTCTGGATTCGACATCCACTGGTACAGGATGCGAATTTCGGCGTACCCGGCCTCGGCAGAATCCCAAAAGGTGAAGCCGCCTGCGCCTTCTTGTGTGCATCTGACGATGATGAGAGGGGAGGACGGCAAGGCTGGTTGAGCTCACGTGCGTCCTCGCTTGGTATGGCACGCATCGCAAACCTCGCCCAAGCTGCCCTCCACCCCACCCGCACTCACTTGTAGTAGCTGGGAATCGTCTTTTCTGGCGTCCTCATGAGGAATGCGTGCCTGTACCTTCGCAGCAGATCGATGGGAACCACTGTGGGATTCTCGAGCGTGTTTCGCAAATCCTCGACGTCCTTGCGATCCGCATCAGACTTTGGAGCTCGCGTGTCCGCTTGGCGATACACTTTAGATTTGGGGTACAGCTTGGCGAGAGTGTCGGCGCTGAAGATGGATTGCGCCATATCCTGATCGGGCAGGAGTCGCGGACATGGCATCGCGGTATAAGGTGAGTGAGTGAGTGAGTGAGTGCGTGGGTGGCTGCTGCTGCTGCTGCGCTCGCTCAAGACCGGGAAAGCTGCTGCTCACCTTGATGAAGACGAATTTGACCGCATCTCTGCCTTCTCTGTTCTTGCCATACCTGCTCTCCTTGAGCATATCCTGCATCACTCCCTCGATGGTGGCGTCGTAGTACTCCGACTGAGCGCAAGCCTCTTCTCCAAATCTGAAATTGGCCCTCTGCGCGCTGTGATAGAAGACCATCGTCACTGGTTCGTGCTCGTAGTGCGTATCCTTGCGTTGCAGCAGAGCTCGAGCGAAAGCTGTGCTGGTGCTTCTAGGGTGCACCCAGAGGCAGATGCCGAGCGGGCCATCCACGGAGCTTGTGGTCCCATTGGATGAAGTCATCACGAGCTTGAGATTGGATGGGGATGGCTGCCTGCGGTGCTTGTACTACCAACGCCCTGTGAGGCGAATCTAAGATGCTCAAGAGAGAGGTGATGTGCAAGGTGAAGAGGGGGGCTGGGGAAGAGGCTGCCAAGCTATATGGATACGAAGCAAGCTTCCCTGCCGATCCCAAGCAGCTCGACGCTCACACCTATCCATCCATTCATCCATTCATCCATCCATCCATCCCGCGGCGTCTCCGCTTCGTGCCAAGTCGCGATCAAAACTTTTTGGGCCACACACTTGGGCCGCTTTCACCGCTTTCACCGCTCGTGCAGCGGATCAGTTGGAGAGCAGCAGCAGGCAGCAGGCAAGCAAGCAAGCAAGCTGCGGTCGTGCGAGAGAGTCGAGACACTGTGACTGTGGCTGCAGCTGCAGCCTGTGTTTGTGCGGAGCCAGTCAGCAGAGGGAGAGAGAGAGAGAGAGAGAGACCAGAGCAGCAGCCAAGGCAGGCAAGCAGCCAGCCACCTTTGCTGCCGGCGACAAAGCCAACCAAGACAAGCATGTGCACCTGCATGCTCCCTCCCAATCACGAAATGTCATGCCAGGCCCACAGAACCGCAAAAAGAAGTGCCGAGGGGGATGGACAAGCTTGCCTCTCTCTCTCTCTCTCTCTCTC